AGAATATGGCATAGGTCAACGCAGTGGATACAAAAAGATGGCTTTTAAGGATATAAAACAGCTAATTTGTGAAGCATGATCAGTTATTTAGATATATTAAAGCAGACCTTTACTAGGTCCCTGAAAATTTGCCTTTTTCTTTAAAGATTAAAAGCAATAGAGCAAATCAACTTAGGAAACAACAAAAGATGCCTCAAAAGAACATCAAGTTTAAATATCAATCATTTTAATTACTTGTTTAAATGCATACACGTTACAAAACAGATCAAAATGATGTACATTTCTCTATAGTTTCATAATATTAGAAGTTGAAAAACAGGATACAAATTTATATCTCAGGTATAATGTGCATATCATCACATATGACAAAATGAAAGAAATACTGGTAAGTTTGTTACAAGGTGTATTACACAACAAACTTTATTCTCTGAAAAAAATCAGAAACAGCCTTGCCCACACAATTATCAAAAAATATAAATGAGAAATTGTGAAATTATATAATGAAAGTGGGGGAAAGGACATTTCATTGTATAAATGAAACTTAATATTGCTATTGCTTTGACTTAGGTTCAGATAGAAAAGTAGAAATGTCATCATTTTCCAACATTTGTCAGTCTTCAGAAAAATCCTTTTTCCTTATTGCATATGAAAATAGAATAGCAGCTGTAAATGGATGCTTCTTAAGTGAAGCCTGCCTTTAAGCACCTTTTCAATTACGAAAGAGCACCCTACACGAAGCAAAGGTGTTTAACTCCTCAGAGTCATTAGAATACAATGCTATCATTTACTCCCAAGGAACAAGTTTATTACTCTAAATATTGTTTATAAGATACTTCCTGATCTATATGATGATATACTGAAGATCTAGTGAGTTTGCAGCATAGTGTACAGCTCAACTGACTGTTATGAACTAAACATATAACCTGAGGGACATTCCCTCTCTTCCACTGCCAGCCAAAAAAAAAACCCAAAAAATAAAATCTATATGAACTGACAGCAAAAAGAATTTTTAGAGAATTTGCCATGTGACTGTCAAATGATAAGGTGCCAAAAGCTGAGGAATTACAAAATCTTTCTTCACTTTGAATTTTGTCTTTTGGCAGAAGACAAGATAACACTGATTGCAACCATTTCAGTTTGGTTTTCTCTGCAGTACTTCACAAAGTAGAGCTCAGCAGAGTGTGGGTAGCTATCAACAGTTCCATATGCCTGTTTCTTTAATCCATGTGAATTTAAAAATCCTTACAATATCCTTACAAAGCAAAAGCTCTCCATTAGCAGAAAACAGCTATATCCTAACACAGACTTACTGACAGACAACTAAAGATTAAGCAGCAGAAAGTCTTGAAATTATGATCAGTAATGATAAATTAAAAATCTGATCTTCAATTAACCAGATGTGCATTTATTATTGCTATTTTTTTCTTGCTTTTTAAATCTGTTTTCTCTTGAAAGAAATCAGTTTGAGAAGTCTGTGATTGTTTCAGGTTGCTATTGAGAGAAAATTAATTTTCCCCTTATGAGCCCATATGTGAAGATTTATGCACTGTAATATATTCAGAACAATTACGACCCAATAACTAGAATACAAGAATTTATTAATTATGCACAGATTTTTTAAAGCACCATTAAAATGCTGCATGCTCAGATTCCATGAGATCATTCCATTTTATAAGAGGAAAACACCAGGTTTGTCCTGGACATCTAGTTGTTAAAAATCAATTTCAACCCTTATTTCATTTTGTAAATAACATACCGGCATTCTCGACCACAAGAGGGCATCCATGCTTACAACCTCATCTTTGGAGTACAAACACACATACATATATATGTGTATATACATACATATACACACACACTAACACACACAGGAACACACACACACCCCTCTTTCCAATAGGTCCTAGCAATGATACAGCATACTTTTGCTATTAGACTTTTCCACTTTCAGATTCCTATGGAATTTCCCAGTCTTGGCGGGAAATAACACATGAAGTCTCATTGTGCTGTCTGTCCAGACTTAGTGGAAAGCAGCCCTCCTTCAAAAGATAGCTAGAACACTAGTTCTTAACAAGGCTTGGTCCAACTCCTCTTGATTTCAGGAAAGAACAGATGTCAAAGAAAGGGAACATTCGGCTTCCCAAAACTAAGTGTGCAAGATCAAGCTCAGGTTTTCTGAATTCCATTTATCATCCCATAGAGACAAGTTGGGATCATTAAAGTCTGTTTAACATTGGTCAGAAATTATTTCTGTCAGAGATCTTACTTCATCCATATTCTTCTTCACAGGCTTTTGTGCTGAGGAGATGTTCCTGTTTGTTTAGGTTTTGAATAAATATACATTTTCCCTTCTGATGCATGTAAAATTCTCTTTAGGTCCTGAAACAACTATTAAAAAAAGGACTTTGCAAGCCAGTTTGACTTAGGAGTAAGTCATATGCATAAATAGAAAAAATCTCACAAACGCTGGAGTGTATATGGTAATATCGAAAGTAAACCTCATCTTTCACAAAAATATTGTGTAACTTCAGCACCAGAATATATGTTAGCACCAAAAGCACCAATTGCTACCCATCATCTTGAAACTTTAAATGAGCCAAAAAATCACAAGCACATATTACAACATAAACAGCTGCGCTCAGTGATTAATAATATCAATTACTTTCTTTTGACTCTTACATCCTTCATAATATTTTTTACCACAAATATTTTAACCTTATTTTAGTGCATGTAAATTTTTGTAGTTCTATATTTAGAACAGACTGAAAGTCTGAGCTAATTTCTCCAACAACTAGGCTGTATTTAAAGGCACACTGCTCTGTTCAGGAGGGACTGCTCCAAATATTTAACACCATCAGAACAGCAATGGGGCATTACTGCCATGGCATAACCTTAAATTTGCCTACAATTTGCCTCAGTGTGTATCAGAGCTTATATCTTGCAAAAAGACAGATCAAGTCTTCAGCACATTTCAGTACTTGTGTTGTTGCAGTGCTTTGTGTCACATAAGCAATTAAGCAGTATGGATGCTGGCAACTGAAGTAGATGTTTGCTGGCATGGTCATTATCCAACCCAAGAAAAAATGAAAAGAGAAATTAATGTAGTTCAGATAATATAGAAAGGCCTAGAGTAAACTACTTATTTTAAAAAAAAATTAAAAAATGGAAGGGCAAATTCCATGTGAGAGGCAAATATCTGATTAGCTGCAACCCACTCTGTGAAATGAAGAATATTCAGCTGAAGGCTTGAGTGCTTGTGGTTAGTTTTATCAGGAGCTGCGCATATGAAATTGTTTATACCCAGATTATTTTTATTGCTGTCAGCTACAGTGTGATTACAATAGAATATCTCTAGCACCATTATAGGTGGTTGTGAAAAACCTGCATACCTGTTTGTTAATAGCTAAGTTTCCTATGCCCATAGGCAGCAAAATATTCTACAAAACAAAGATATTTGTAGAAACTTAAACAGTAACAGATACAATACCATATATACCCGTTATAATTTCAGCTGAATTACAGAATTATAAATTAATTTACAATGTCTAGTCCTGTTTGGAAAGTGTACCATACAACATAAAAGTTGCAAGTTCCAAAGTGCATAGTTATATATTAGACCCACATTTGTAGGTTCTATAGCTTAACCTGAACTCTTATTTATGCTCTGCTTCCCATGTTGTATTAAAAAAAATACTGTAAAGACAAGGCAACGTAAAGGTGCATCCCTTGCATGTTTGTCCAACACTGCTCTGACTGAAGACTGGTGACCCGCTTACTTTTGTCTCACTAAATTCTTTAAATGCATACAAAAATGATGCAAAGAGGTTGTATTTCACTCCCAAAACATGACTGGATTTTACTCAGACAAAGCACTTCACTGTCCAAGCACTGTCTTCTTTCCAACCATAAGGAATGACTTTTGTATTTCAATTGTTAGGATAATAATTAGCAGAATATTACAAGTGTTGTTCTTCTACAGCATGGGCATATTTTACTGTCACTAAATGGAAGAGCTACAGATGAACTGCTCACATTCATTGAGTGATCAGATTATGGACAGATGGAGAGAGGCTGTTTCATACATTGTGGAGCTCCTTCCATACATTAAAGTTATCTTGTTGGGAAAAAAAAAAAGAACTAATGTGAAAAAATCCCACTTTTTAATCACTAATATGCTTTATATTCTTGTGATGGACTGTATTAAACACCTTTTTAAGCACCAAATTAGTTATTTTTGAAACATACACATGTAGTACTCACAAAATTATGCTTTGTTATTGAGTTTGTTGTAGTAGATAGTGCGTTTCAAAGCTCATGAATTTCAGAGGTCTAAACTCAGTGCAAGCAGAGTAAACATGTGGAATACTTTCTGCCAAATAATATAATGCCAAAACTCGAGGCTATTTCAATGACAGCTGTACATAGTAGTTGCGGCAGATGTTGGATTTCCTCTCTTTTTACAACCTATTTTTTTAAAAAAAACTACCTTTACAATCTTCTGGCCCTCTTTATAGGCACAAGAAACTCCATTTTTGGCAGGAAGAATGTGAATAAATAGATCTGCTTTCTATAAATTAATAAAAACATTTGAAGGAAATAGCTCTATACTTTTTAAAGAACCCTCACAATTCCTTTAGAAATTTAGAATTTTTGTCACAAGTTTTAATTAAGCTTGATAAATTTGTAGTCTTTTATATGGAACATGCTTTTATATGCTTTTAGGTCTAAATCATCCTCAAAAGTTTCACCTAGCTGAATTTCAGTGATGGGTACAGTGTATAACTGGTATACACATGGCAGGTGGTAAAAGACTTAGAGTGGATGGCATATATTCATTTAAAGTTGCTTTGCAGCAATATATTTGTCTTCCTGTACAGAAGTAAATACACTGCTACAAAGTACCTTTTATGATTGTGTTCTGATAGGCAAGGGGGCAAGAATTGAAAATGTGATTGTGTTGATTATAACAGTATATTAGAAGGGATGTAACTGTCTAGTTAGATAAGACTTCAGGCTCGTGAGTTAGTATGTTGGCCAGTGTGGTTCCTTATTCTCTCTGTTCTTCCCATTGCACACAGGCTTTGCTGATGATAGCAGCAGCCATGTGCTGAATTCCTGAAATGCTGTAAATTAATTACGGTTGTGCATGAGGTAGGTAATATCCTACAGTTTCTCTTGCATGTATGTTTTGCTCTTCTCCAAGTCCTGTTGGCATTGCAGATGAAAGCACAGCTGTAAACGGGAGCAATCCTGATAGTGGGGGACAGTTTGGTGCGCTTGCATGGTACGCACCATTGGAAAGCACAGCATCGAAACAATGACCCTCTTCTTTCTAGATCTATCTTTTTAAATGGGAAGTCATGCTTTAGATATAAATTGACACACCTCTTAATATGCTTTTAGTAGAATCTCAAGAAGGTACACTTGTTAAGGTGAAAATTAGTTTTCTGTTCTTTACAAGATGTCAGTCTAAAATGGTTAGTGTGATCCATTAATTCTGAAGTGTTAAAAACAAATTCATATTATACTTTGAAAGCTAATTATACAAAGCATACAAAAAGGAAACATCGGGGTATTATTACAATATCTCTCTATATATAATATGTGCAAAATTCAATATACAAGCTTCTTGTTATTTAGCCATTAAAAAATGTAAACATGTTAACTTATTTAAACCAATATAAGTAGTTAGATGTTACTCCTGGGAAGCAAAGATTGTTGGTACAAGAGCCTCCATAACTTGGAGGGCAAGCAGAACATGGGACCCCTACTTTATATGGTGCTTCTCCAATCCAGTTCCCCCTGAAAATATAAAAAGGAACAAGAGTGATTAGTCATTTGAGAAAAAGCCTATCTTATATTACGAAGAAAAAATATATCCATTAATGGTACCTATTTTGAGAGATTAAAGCTAATATTTTAAGTGATATTCTGTAAGTGCCCAGTTACACAAAACGGTTAACTATACTTTTATATCTGTCTACTGATGAATATTGATTTACCAATTCAAAAACAAAGTCTAAATTCGGTTTATTTTCCTACCATCAAATAACTTCAATCTCTGATTCTGGGACATGATAATCATTCAGCAGGCACTCTTTCATGAGAAATTAGTGGCAGGAGTATTGATTCAAAGCTTTCCTAGAACATTTTAGTTCTGCCAATTATCTTAAAATAATTTGAAGGTAGAAAGACCAACCAAGAATCTTATTATCAGGTTATAGTGGTCTGAATCCACACTGTGAGGCTCTGAGGCTGAATTAAGTTTGATTAACCTCCTCTGAGGCTGGTTAAGGAAAAGGAAGATGGAAAACTATTCACAAAAGTATTATCTTAAAAAGATTAATATTTCTGAGTTCACAGGGGTATCATAGGTGTTAGTGGGAGGAGGAGGAGGGCACAGGCTCCTATCTAGTAAATGGAGATATGCAGTTTCTAATAGAGCTCTAGTAAAAAGCAGCACAAGTCTGGAGAGTGCTCACGTGAAATGAGGTAAGTCTGAAAGATCTAGGAACATCTGAAAAAAGAATCAAATCTTCTGGATGCTTATGTAAATGCCCAGACTTTCAGAGATTCATGAGATATCACTCAGGATACAGGAAGAAAGTAAGTTAAAATTAGATTTTTATTTAAATGTTATGTCTCAGAGAGCAGAGAACTTTCCTCTAGTTTGCATGTGATGTGGTATAGTAGTGAGTAATGCAATTATTTATGAAACATTTTCTCATCCCTATTTCCTAGCCAATAACATTGGATCAAAAGCCTTGGTCCGGGTTGTGCCTTGGAAGAAAGTAGGAATCTCTCAAATAATTTGCTCATTCCTACTTCACTTCCAAATGGGTACAGCAGATTGCATGCTCAGAAAATATGTTTAGTTTGATAACAGATATGGAAATCCAGAAAGAGTTTGCTGAAAGCTGATTTTTGCTTTATTTCCTATACACCATATGGTTAATTTTTGTGAATACATATTACTTAACCATATACAGAGCCTTTGTAAACCTTTCATCTATCCTCGTTGACTTTACTTTTGCCCTGATTTCAGAAACACATTTTTTTTTCAACATTGCAGTATGGTATCAGTTTACATTATATGAAATCTAATCCCCAAATCTTTACCAAATTCCAGGAGGGTGTAATATTTTTTGTATTCTGACATTCATGCATGCTGATTGCTTAGGGGGACATAGCCCTTACCCTCTGGCAAAGACATCTGTACGTAAACTTTATATGCTTAGCCCAACTTTATTGATTCTTTGGAATATGTCCTTAAGCCAGCGAAGTCCTCTCAGTACCCTTCTGTGACTGTGCAAGAAATCTATATGCAAAATCCTTATTCATCTAGCTATAAATCAAAGTTCTACCTGAAATCTTTTCCAGAGAAGAAGCTGAAAATTCCAGAAAAGCATACTGAGAATTTCAGACTGAGAAAATATAAAAGGTTATTAGTACTTTGTTAATTGATAGACAAATAATGCATCCATTTTCACTCATGCATCACATACGATATCATTCATTGCTATTATGGAACAAAATAAGAAAGGTATCCTGCAACAGTTCTTTTCCTATTTATTACATTTTCCTACTTATTATATATATATTTTTTAAATCTTGTCGAGATCATGTTGCTAGAAGTCTCAAAGCTAAAAGTGAAAAGTCACATATAGTTTTTGCTGCCTGATACCCCTGCAATTCTTTCATTATCTCTCCTTTCTAGTAGATATTAAAGAGAACACAGAAATCTGTATGATTTCCTAGGAAAGAAAGAAAAAAGTGTTTTTTTCAAGACAGTTTTCTCATCAAATCCTGTCTTCTCTTAAGCTGCAAAACCTTTAAAAAATCTCGTACTAAGAGAACACACAGAATAATGACATGACTCAAATTCATTCTCTTGCATATTCTTTACCACAAATGGACATGTGCCACTGAGAGTTTATGGAAAACATGTTCAATTAATTATGTTTAGCTTCCTATGCAGAACTATGGCTTAGCTTAATATTACTCAGTCAGAGAAACCAGCAGCCTTTTACGCTGTCGATGCTATTTTTGAAGCACTGGTCCAAACTAAACCTCAAAACCACGCTCTTCGCTGTCCATACTTTACTGATTCATTCTGCAGCCATATGTAAGCTCGAGATGATGTCCAGAGAATGCTTGGAGAAAATTCAGTTCTACAGTTCAGTTCAACTTAACACACATATTTACATGGCTAAATGAAATAGGGTCATGAATGGGTATCTATGAAATATGCTTTGAAGGACACTAACATTGCACGATGAAATGACATTTGTAGACAATGAGTTTAGACAAATGGACTAGTATAGGAAGCCCATACTAGGGCTGTATGCAGTATGGTTGTAAGAAAAGGTATCATCTTGGCAGCAGTGTGAGTTCACAGAGAATCAACATCCACAGTAAAGATGTTTCCTAAGGCCTAATCTACAAAATGATTCTGTATATGAAGAAGTCCAGCTCACCACAAATATAACAGAGTAACGGAATAAGTAATTGAAAGTGGAGTTCAGAACAAAGGGTGAGAATTGCAGTAAAAATAATACTAAAAATAAAACGTTTTTGTTCCTAACACCTCTTACACCTCTTTTTTTTTTTTTTTTTTCCCTTCCTTGCATACTAAAGCTGTGCATTTGTTAGATATAATGTTAGGATTAATGAGCAGCCCACAGAAATAAAGCACAAATATAGGTCAAGCAGAAGAAAAAGGAGTAAGCAGTCCAGTGAGAGGAWCCACACATTCATGAACTATAAAAATAAACAATATTAAAAGAGAGCAACTCACTTTGGGGCATAGTTGCATACCAAGTAAACAGCTTGTCGCCAAACCGATCCCCAGACGTTCATATTGTGGCATGTGTGGATTGCGCAGCCTATACGATTGGAAGTGGCCCAAACCATCTGAATAAATATTCATTATTGGTGAAGTTCAAATTGAAAAGAAATATACATATATATACACATATATGTACATTTATATGAGAGAAAGCTATAAATACATCACAGAAAAGTCCAGCTTTGGATAGTAGATTTTGAATAGAATGGAATTTATATAACCTGTGTGTAATGTGTGCACATGGGTCCGTAGCACCGCAGGGGACACCTGGGGTTGCAGTCCTGAGGATAAGGGAAAGCATAGTCCTTCACTTCATCATACCATGGCTTTACCAGCTGAAGGATGGATCGATATCTAAGTTTGTTTAAAAGACAGAAAGAAAAACATGCCTTCTCAAATCCAGAAATTTTGAAACTTTCTGCTGCTAATCCCTATGACTGATTCAAGTCACCTAAAGGCATTTCATCAGCTAACAGTAGGGGTCAAAACTACTAAGCAATAATACTTTTCAGTCAAATGAAAATCTTTGCAAAGTATAGATGCATATAAATTATTGTCAGAATAATGGAAGAAGCTTGAATCAAGTCTCAAAGACTGAAAACAGTTATGTAATATATCTGCCTACCTTCCAGTTCTTACGGACAGATTTTGGCCTAAGAATCTCAGTAAATAGGAAGGTCCATGGTCCCAAATGCACGTAGCAGCCCAAGCTTCTGCAGACTTGGCAAGAGTTTCATCCCAAACCTGACAAAATAAAACATCATTAACTGGAGTACAGAAAAACACACATGGCAGTGCAAGAATATAAGAAACAGGTATTTTAAGTCTCAACTTTAAGTCTTATACTAATATAGCACCTATAGTAACCTAAAAAGGGATCTCTTGAATTCCCCAATCATGGACCAGCATACACAGGCCTAACAGGATCTGAGCTAAATCATCTACATATAATCATAGAATATAATATATATATATAATCATTATGGTTGGAAAAGACCTTCAAGATCATCAAGTTCAAAAAAAAAAAAAAAAAAAAAAAAAANTAAGTCTTATACTAATATAGCACCTATAGTAACCTAAAAAGGGATCTCTTGAATTCCCCAATCATGGACCAGCATACACAGGCCTAACAGGATCTTATTTATATATACTTCATATAATAAAAGAATAAAATTTATATAAATAATCATAAAGGTTGATTCTTACCTTCAAGATCATGAAGTTCAAAAAAAAAAAAAAAAAAAAAAAAAACCTTCAAAAACCATACCTTTTAAATCTTGTCTTTAAGTGTCTCATCTATATGTTTCTTAAACACTGCCAGAGACAATGACTCCACTTCCCTGGGCAGCCTGCTCCAATACTTTACTACTTTTTCCATGTAGAAATTCTACCTAATGTCTAACCTGAACCTCCACTGTCAGAACTTGAGGCCATTTCCTCTTGTCCTCTCCGTAGCTATTCCAGACAAGAGATCAACCCCTGCCTCACTACAATCTCCCTTCAGGTAGTTGTACAGAGTGATAAGGTCTCACCTGAGCATCCTCTTCTCTAGACTAAATAATCCCAGCTTCCTCAGCCACTCCTCATAAGGTCTGTGTTCCAGCCCTTTCACCAGCTTCACTGTCCTTCTTTGGGCACACTCCAGCACCTCAATGTCTTTCTTGTGGTGTGGGGCCCAAAACTGAACACAGTATTTCAGGTGCAGCCTCATCAGTGACAAGTACAGGGCAATGATCACTTCCTTGGTCCTGCTGGCTACACTGCTTCTCATACAATCCAGGAAGCCATTGACCTTCCTGGTCACCTGGGCACAAGGCTGCCTTATGTTCAGTTGGCTCTGTTCCGTTCTGTGGTTCAGTCGAACAACACCTCCAGATCCTTTTCTGCCACACAGCTCTGCAGCCACTCTGCCCCAAGCCTGTAGAGCTGCACAGGGCTGTTGTAACTGAAGYGCAGGACCTGGCACTTGGCCTTATTGAATCTCATACAGTTGGTCTCAGTCCAGTGATCCAGATCCCTCTGTAGAGCTTTCCTACCTTTAAGCAGATCAACACCTCCTCACAGCTTTTGTGTCATCTGCAAATTTAAGGGTGCCCTCAATCCGCTCATCCATATCACCGATAAAGATATTAAATAGGACCAGCCCCAGTACTGACCCCCTAGAGAACATTGCTCATGATCAGTCACCAGCTTGATTTAACTACATTTTCCACCACTCTCCGGGCCTGCCCATTCAGCCAATTTTTCACGTAGCAAAGACTACATCTGTCAAAGCCATGAGCTGCCTGCTTCTCCAGGAGAAAGCAGTGGGAGACTGTGTCAAAGGCCTTACTGAAGTCCAAGTAGACCACATCCACAGCCTTTCCCTCATCCATTARCTGAAGAATCAGTATATTCAGATGTCTCTTTTGGTGGCTGGGAAGGCTCCGGTTCCCCTACCATTTTCCCTTTGTGTTGATAAGATCTGTATGTGAGTAGGAACAAAACATCGCATGGACTCAGATGGAAGGTTCAAGTGAAGGAGACACACACAGGTGGAAGAATTCAGTACAGATATCTACAGCTAGATATCTATCTCTATCTACAGCTAGAGAGGGCACTTGGCAGTTTTTCATATGTGAGGCCATAAGGTCAGGAAAAGGACTTCCTCAAAGCAAAGACCATGAATGGTTTCCAGGTGCAGCATGAGCCACATCACTTTATCTTGCATGGGACCTGACACTGCTCCCTGATTGGAATAAAAAGAAAACAGCTCTGTAAGGAGAGATGGTTAAAACCATTTCTACTCTATAAGTCATAATGACAAGTAACCTTAAACAGTTTTTTTTTCTTTTTTAATATGTTTTAATATGTTTCCTGCTCATTTGCATGCTAGGTTTTTAACTCCACTATTTTCTTCACAGCAGAGTTGCCTCAGCAACTATAGAGACATCATCAATAGAACCTATTCTAATCTTAGAGCTTTAAATAAGGAATATCTTAATGTTATACTACCGTTCTGCATAAATCCTAGTATGGCTTAGTGTTTATGTAAAACTCAAGTAGCCTCTGGATCCTGGAATTAGATGTGTATTTTTAATAGAACAAGCAGTTTTGGTGAATTGCAAGTAACAGCACGTGATAAAATTGCTTCTCCAACCCACAGTACCTTTCCAAATGCAAAGACAAGCTCATAAATCTTGACTGGCAACTAAATAGAGAGCATGCTCTGTGTGGTATGAAATAACAGGCAATGGTAGAAACACACTTATCAGAGGATCAGGTGGTCCACAACACAAATATTATCTGTACTATGATATAGTACAGACGTCTAAAACACTCAATTCATACTTTTACGCTTCCAAGTATTGACCATAGGTACAGGTACAGGACATTAATTCGTGTCCCTGACTCCCTATAGTTGAGAAGCTTTTCTAAGTGAAAATTATGGAATAATTTCTCTAAATTAAAACTATAGAATTTATTAAATTTTATGAGTGTGCTATAACACTAATCAGGCTTTTTGCTGATATGGAGTAGATGAGGTAGATTCTAGATTATAATTGAAGAAATACAACAGAGACTATGACTCTGTTACTCACATATATAAATAGTGTTATATATATAACACAAATGATATTCCATATAAGTGGAGTCTTAAGGCTTTTTGCCTTAAAGAGAAGATAATAGTAGGTACAGATGTAGAAGTGCACTTGGGAAGTGTTCCTAAGAGGCTGGAGCCACAAACTGACTGTGTTTGGAGCCTGCCCAGACACAAGGGAACTTAAAAGCACACAAATCCAGCATGTGGGTCCAAACACAGCTGGCTGGTGTGCATCATAAGGGGCAGTTCAGCCAGTACTGTGACACCCCATAAACACCCTTCTTTGCTGGGATTAATCATGCTTCTGGCACGAATACTTTCTGCCAGGAGGCTGAACATGAGGTTTGCGTGCTTGCTCCCAAGTGACCTGGCTGCTGTCCCACAATAATCTGGATGCGTACTGTATTTGCACAAATAGCACCGAGCTCCTAATTTTGACCCAACATCTTTTCACATGCTGTACTGCTTTGCAAAATAGTATGTTAGGTGATTAAAAGGACTGTAAAGATTGTATTAAGTTTTTGCCATTAATGCTATCTGTCAACTAGGTACTCCCCTCTGCATTGGATAATAACAGAATTGTTCACCCACTTCCATTTCTCTTTCAGTTCTTTTTCTGATTCTCAGGCATTATTGGTAGTATTTGCTTGTAAAAGCCTCAGTCGGCTGTTTCAAATTCAGTTAAAAGTTTCTTTCTCGTATAAAAGTGATGGTCTCACTCCTGTCAGAATGAGCACTTGATCATCTCCACAAGAAGAGGCAAGTAATTAATGAGGTCACAGCAGAAAAACGATTATCTCATAATGATCTAAAATCTTCTCGATCATAAAAAAAAAAAAAAAGCACCATTAGTTCATCCCTTTCAAAAGACGACTGAATCTGGGCCCATACTTGTATTTATCTTTTAGTTCAGCCTTCCATATTGGGAACTTTGGAGAAGAGAGATTTGGCAAGCAGATTTAGGGCTTTTTGAATCTATAAAGAAATAGGATATAAAGAAACAGAAAAAAAAATCTTACAGCAAAAAAAAGGAAATAACCTGAAAGTCCAAGGAGCAGTTGCTGTATAAAAGGTTCAAGGTAATCAGTAAGGGTGTTTAAAAAAAAAAAAAACCAAAAATGATAAATAATGAACTATGTAATGATGGCCAATTGAGCCTTTCTATTAAGCATGTTAAAGAAAGCTGCCTGACATGAAAATTGCGAAAGGGAAGAGGAGAGGAATTTGCATACCCAGTGGATCAAGATCTGAGGAGATGAGTCACCCTCATGCATTAATCATGCAAACTCCCAGTTGCCAAACAGGGCTTATTCTCTCCCCAGAGAAAACATCTCTGTTTGCTAGGTCACCAATGCTTGGGGAAGCCGTTACCTTTGGTCCACTCAAAATAAGAAGCCCTCCAAGCTCTGTAGACCACTGACAGGGTTCACAGGGGAGATCTTCCCCACCCCTTACCCAAGTCTAACTGAGCTGTGATAGAGTTAAAGCGTCTCTCACTACTGCTCCACTGGCAACTGGAAGTGCACATCCTTAGGCCAATTTATTTTTGCTTCCTCAGTCAAAAAGAATTTTCCTCGAAAGCTTTCTGACTGTGGTGTCTGCAGTATTCTCTGCTGTACTACCATTCAGAAGAACTTGAATGTGAGCCTTGTCACGTGGGCTGAAAACAGGGAACAGGTGCTGAGAAGGGCCTATATGAGTGGTTCATATAGGATGTTTCACAATCAGAGAGCGCAGGCTTTATCACCTGCCTCTGAGTTAATCTGTGCACTCACATAGCACCTGCTGGTTGAGTCTCAGGTCAGGAATAATACATTAGCTTTAATAAATTCAGAGGGAATTTTGCCAGAATTTTACCGTTTTTTTTTCCCCACTCTCCAAGCAAATAAGGAAATAAAGTCTGTGTTTCCGTGAATTATAATAAACAATTGAGTGTAGAAAGAAACTTCTTTAATGTTGAATGAAATTTCTTGAAGCCCCCTAAGTGTTTGCCTTTTAATATTGTGTCACAGTCCCCTCCTGCCTCCTGTTTCTCTCTCAATTCTTAAATCATTTATATGTAAAGGGGATGGAGTTGTCCTTTTGTTCTTTGTTGAAACAGCTTTTAATACTATGAAGTCTTGGCCCAGCTTTTGACACTATGAAGTCCTAACAACTATGT